ATTGAAAGACTATCCATAGTCTCTAAACATGTCGGTTGAGGCATATTCAACCATCACATTCTCCATGCCCATAGGGTCCCGTCACAGCTGGTGATGTCGGATTGAAGGTTGAAGTAAGATTCAAACATTTGCCCTTGAGGTTCATTGTATCCTAGGAATTGCTGATATAGAATAACCAAATGCTAAGATCTGAATCTAATGCCTTATGATATATATAAGACACCATTTTTCTATTAGCTGTGTGATCCTGACCAGAGGTGAATTCAGGATTGCACACATTATCCCACAAGAGCGATCATGATGTCCATGGCCCAGATAGGACAGTGGTGGCCATTGGGGGCGAATGCCTCAAACTCTATAGCCATATATTACCTCTATGGGTAAACCAGTGATAATTAATTTAAAACCCGTAAATTAAAGACCACCATGGTTGATGTTGTAATGAACTTAGCAAAATCAATGGGTATTCCAAGAAGTTATCTTGAAACCATTAATGTAAATCTCAAATTGCTAAATATGGCACCTTGAAGATAATCTCCAAAATGGAGTAGATCACGCAGCACTAGAGAGTATAATATGATGAAATCAGTAGATACTCACTCGTAATGCCTTATGTCTTGACTTAGTAAATGTGTCGGAGAGCACTTTGTAAAGCAATTATAATGTCAAAATAAAAAAATATAGGCTTTAACAGTAGTCATGGATAATCTGCGTAGGCAGTAGATCTATATGATTACCTCGTGATCCCAAGCATCAATTTGAAGAAATCACTTTGAATTTTGCATCTGTATTTACAAGAAATTAAAAATCTCAGTATCAAATAGAAGTATTAATCTCAACATGTGTTTAACGTGAAAATTGATACATCATAGAAATATTCCGGAATACATTGTACTCAGCAGAAAAACAATACTGTAGAAGTACTTAATTTATCTTTGCAAGAGATTAAAAATCGCAACTGCAAATAGATGTAATTAATCTCGACACGTGTTAAACGTGAAGATATATAACATCAATTTAGGATCTAGAATACATTGATATTTAACAAAAGACAATACTAGATGTACTGATTTTAATAGTTTAAAGTGAAAACTTCACCATCGCTTAAAGATACTGTTAAAGCACAAATCAACTAAAAGTTAAAATTTGCTAGACGGCATGTTTTAGCCACTAATGAGCCATGGCTTAATTACCACCCACATGCGCATGGGAAAACTTTGTTTTTGCCACTCTAGCTTTTGCCAACTTTGCTTATGCCACTCTAGAATATCATCTCTCACTTTTGCCACTCCTAGCTTTCGATAATATATCGCAAATGCCATTCTGTTACACATCTGTTAGTTGACTGTTTATTCTATCTAGTTGACCAGGAGAAGAGCTGTCAGTATTTGTAAAAATGACACAGGTTGCCCCTACTGACTTGTGGGGCCACTTTGTAAGTGACACAAACAGAGAATATACACACACAGGTCCAACCACACCACACACACACCCGTTCCCTAAAAAAAGAATGACCTAGGCTGCATCCACCAGCCGCACCACAGACGGGCCGCATCCACCAGCCGCGCCCGCATCCATGCCACGGCGTCCTCCTGCCCGCCGCCGCCGTCGCGGCCACACTCCGCCGCCCGCCGCCGCCGCATCCACGTCCCCTCCGGCCTCCCTTCCTCCGGCCTCGCTGATGGATCACGCCTCTCAGGTCCCCCCACCACGGCGCCCTGCTCCGACCTCGCCGATCCATGGCGCACCTCCGCCCTCCCCTCTGCGGTGCCCATCTTCGGCCTCCCTCACCGACGCGGTCCGCAGCAGCGGGCTTGGTTCCTCTGCTCCAGCCTCCCTCCCCGACGTGGTCCGTAGCAGCGGGTTTGGTTCCTCTGCTCCGGCCTCCCTCCCCGACGCGGTCCGCACCAGCAATGGCCCATCCTCTACACCGGCCTCCCTCCTTGACATTGTCCGCACCAGCGACCCCCCTTCCTCTGCCTTCAACAACTCACACAGGATGGAGGGAGCCGCGCCATCGGCCATGGCGGCAGGGGCACCACAGAAGACCTCGAACCTGCTGGTTCCTCTTCCTGATGGGCAAGTTTTCAACTCCTCACGTTTGATGTAGCATCTGATCTACTAGAAATAGACATCTTTTTGTGCTAGAAATAGATTTCCTTGTATGCTCATGCTGGTTCATTTGTGTTCGGTTCATGGGGCATATTGGCTGGTGGTTTGTGAGATGCCACTGCTAGTTTGTTGGGATTGCAAGTCTGGTTCTCTGTTTGTGAGACGCGCCGTCGGATGTCTAATTTGAATGCATCAGTGAACACTAGATCAGTAGATCATTTAAGTAAATAACCTATGTTCTGGCAGCATTTAAGTAAATCACTAGATCAGTAGATCATTTAAGTAAATCACCTATGTTCACATAACCAAAGCACTAGATCAGCAGTAATGTTCCTCACTTCATTTTTGTTGCTGCCCTTCTATAAATTAATGCCCTTGTGAATTGTTGCTTTTCAATGTGCTTGCATTCACTGATGTCAAATTTCTGTCAATGTAGGTCAAACATGCCACCTTATAAGCTGATTGTGACATATGGGGCACGTTCTTACAAGAATTACAAGGGCGAGGAGTGCATTGTCTCTTCTTGGAGCTGGGACATTCATGTAGAGAGGCTGACTAGTTACGATCAACTTGTGGGGCTCATGCAGAGTAAACTCCAGCAAAGGACATACCCAAGGTCATACTGGAAGAGTTAACTCAAAATTCTCAGTATGAGTATGAGATACCTGAGGAGAACTTGGCAGGGCAAGAAAGATGCATTGAGAGAATGGCTAATGGTCAGATTTGAAATAAGAGCTAAAATAGCGGAGAAATTTGCACGCAGACATCTACAAATTCTGCCAAGGATCACCAACATGATGAACAATAGATCAAGGGGGGTTGTGCTAGTTGGGATCTCTAGAAGTGATGACTGCAAAGCGGAGGTCACTATAAAGATCCATGGATATAATTGGAAGCATTGTGTAGATTTGGAGAAGTGGGAATGCTCTTGTAGGTGTTGGCAAGTAACCGGACAACCTTGCCTACATGCCATTGCATTCATCACAAGTATTAGAGGAGGTCGAGAGATAGATGACTATGTGCATGAGTACTACTCTGTGAAATCATTCAGCAATGCATATGCAAAAAATGTGCCCACCATGACCGATAAGAAACAATGGCCAGTGGTCGATGTTGGGTTCAAATTGCACCCTCCTGTACTGAAAAAGGCTGCTGGTAGACCTAGGACACAAAGGATAAAGTCAGCCTTTGAAAGCATATCAAAGAGAAGACACAAGTGCCCAGAATGCAAAGAACTTGGGCATTTGTTGAAGACATGTCCAACACTTCATCCCGAACGCAAGACAAGAAACAGGTACTTTCTAGCAAAGAATTGTACATTCAAAATTTAAATGCAAAGAAATGTATAGTCTAACTAAATTTCTCTATCTCAAATCTGTTAGGAAAAGAAAAAATGTTGAGCCAGTAGACATCAAAGACGCAGAAGCTATTTCCATAGATGCTGAGACTATGGGCACTACAAGGTTAATATTCTTTGTTTTGCTTCCAATAATCCATAATGGTCTAATTTTGTCTATTATAAATATGCATTTTGCTTACTCTGGTGCGTCTAATTATGTTTCAAACAAGCCAATGCATAGAAGTCTATTTTGCCTATTTAAATATGCATCTCAACACTTATTTGCATTCATTCTCAGTGCTGAAAATGGTTCTACAAACAAGAGAAGAGGTGGTAAAAGGGCAAAGTCTAGCCCAATTCTTGAAGCATCTAAGAAGACTTCTGCGACCCATGATAGCCCAGCAAAGAACACAAGAAGCAAATGTCCTCCGTCGAAGAACACAAGAAGCAGAAAATGTCCTTCGGCGAAGAGCACAAGCAAAAAGAAGCTGTGAACCTTGCTGTTTAGGATGATGCGCAACTACATTTATTTTGTGGAGCACTATGCATATGTGAACCTTGTTGTTTAGCTGATGATGTTGCTAGACTTGGCTGTACTATGTCTCAACTTGTGTGGAGCTGCTTTTGGGGTGGTCCATATGCATGTGAACCAGCTGTTTAGATTAGATGATGGATTTGATTTCCATGAAGTATTTTGTTGATATTTAGAATGCCTTAACCTCTTTACTATGATGTTGGTCATGATGTTATTATTGCACTTCTCATCTAAATATCCTGTCATTATGTGTGATGGTTAAATTTCCAAAGAGGTCATGCCAAAATTTCATCTTTACTATGCTACTGGTCATGATCTTATTAATGTGCATACTTCTCATCTAAATATTGTGCAACTATGTGTGATGGTTAGATTTTTAAATAGGTCATGCCAAAATTTTCTCTTTACGGTGGTGTTGGTCATGATCTCTAAATATTGTGCAATTATGTGTGATGGTTAGATTTTCAAATGTCAACCAAAATGTCCTCTTTAGTATGCTGCTGGTCATGGCGTTAATATAATGGCAAAAGCAATAGTTGAATAAAACGAGAGTGGCAAAAGCAAAACAAATTAATTGGGGGCAATCTGGTCTTTTCTCTGCTCTGTTTGGTCAAAACGTCCATTGACCTAACAGAATGGCATTTGTGATATATTTATCGAAAGCTAGGAGTGGCAAAAATGAGAGATGAAATTTTAGAGTGGCATAAGCAAAGTTGGCAAAAGCTAGAGTAGCAAAAACAAAGTTTTCCTCATGCGCATATGCCATGTGAAGGGCATGTGCGGCAGCCGACGATCTGGTCAACCAAACAGACAAGGAAACAAATAATAATGCTTTTTTAAACTAATAACTAATCTCCCTCCTGATTTTTATGGGGTGGGGCCTCTTGTTTTCCTTAATCTCCGATCAAAACCCACCTTTATGTAAAAGAATATATCCTTTTGTACGCGTAGCGTTACTACATCCCAATCTCTTCCTGCCCCCTCTCCGCGCCAGGGTTCATCGTCCCAGCCGCCATGATGCCCCAGCCGCAGCCCGGCGTCGCCGCGCCGCAGTGGGGCGCCATCCCACCGCCCATGCCGCCGCACCAGCTCCCGCCCCCGCAGATGTGGGGCCAGCCGCTGCAGCCCCAGCAGGTCGCGTATGGGCAGGCGCAGCCGCCTCCCCAGGCCGCGTACTACGGCCGGCCGGCTGTCCCGACGCAGGCGCCCGCTGGGCCCAACGAGGTCAGGACACTCTGGATAGGGGATCTGCAGTACTGGATGGACGAGAACTACGTCTACAATTGCTTCGCGAGCACCGGCGAGGTATGTGCCTCTCGCTCTCCGGTGCCATCTCCTCAGAATCCTCTGTATAATTGGTTCAATATGTCGATGTGGATTTGCCAGTGATTTTTCGTGGGGCCGTGGGTGACGCTTGATGCAAACACGAATACGTATCCGTGATTGATGTAATACACGTTGTGTCTGGTCTCCAAACTACTGTTATTCTTCAGCTAACTGTTTATACTTTCTGAAAAGCAACTTGAGCCATGGGATCAGGCTCAGTTTTTTTTCCTTGGTTCTGTTATTGGTTGTTACGCTTATCTGTTTCACAGTATAAGCTGAAACAACATTATAGGAATGACTGCGGCCAAGGTATTCTGCGAAACTGAGTTGCTTTTCTATTGTAACTGGTTGATTGATGTTGTAACTAGTTGACTGATTCAGATTTGTGATTATTTATCATCATGTGTTCTGCAAATTATACTCTCAGTTTGTGTCTATCGTTTACACACAGTATATTGATCTTTCGTATTGTCCTCTTTAATTTGTAGGTGCAATCTGTGAAGCTGATTCGTGACAAGCAGACTGGACAACTTCAAGGTTATGGCTTCATTGAATTCACAAGCCATGCTGGCGCTGAAAGAGCTCTTCAGACATTCAACGGGGCAATGATGCCAAATGTTGAGATGGCATACAGATTGAACTGGGCGACTGCTGGTGAAAAACGTGATGATGGCGCTGATTACACAATATTTGTTGGTGATTTGGCTGCTGATGTCACAGACTACGTATTGCAAGAGACATTTAGGGTACAGTACCCCTCGGTTAAGGGTGCAAAAGTTGTAACGGATAAACTGACAATGCGCCCAAAGGGCTATGGCTTTGTGAAATTTGGTGATCCTACAGAGCAAACTCGTGCAATGACTGAAATGAATGGGATGCTCTGTTCTTCGAGGCCCATGCGTATTGGACCAGCTGCAAATAAGCAAAAAGCAACTGGAGTTCAAGAGAAAGGTAAGCACTAAATCCTAGTTGGCTAGATTTAATTTGTTTTAGCTGCGTTTTAAAGATTATTACATTTGCATTTGACTTGTAATTGATTTTATCTGTTCATTTTGTCCTTAGTTGTCCTTGCAGTTACTTGTTGGATTAGCCTTCTGTGGTTCAGTTTCCTTTATTACTAGTTGAAAATGTATCGAAGCTTGGCTTGAGCAATAAGTTTGTAGATCCACAACATTTCCTTCGTGAATTCGGATCATTTAATAATACATTAGGATTCTGAAGTATACTCATAAAACTCCCATTGTGTCGAAGCAGGATACCAACAGGCTCTCTACGACTGACATGAACAGCATTACATATCTTGTGTAATGCGTGGCCTCTGTTAGGTCAGTGTTAATCGTTTATGTCCTAAATTTGAACCTGGTTCGTTTGGTATCCAGTACTTCCTTTCCAGTTTGGTTCCTTCCACGTACTTGTTTTATCTCTTCCTGTATCTTCAATTAAAGCTGTCTCTTGAAGTTCACAACATTCACCGGTCGTAGGATCTGTGGCAGAACATGTATAGTGTAATGTCTTGTAAAACAGTTATGGGATTGAGTAGTCCCAACATGGGTTTAGTTGTACACATTTCTTAGGAATGGTTAGAACCTTTTGTACCCGAAGGCTCTTTGTGCTAAGTTTATCCAAGAAATCGTATATGATAAAAGCACACGCACACATAACGTAAGTTTTGGAGTCGTGACATTTCTATATGCTACACATAATGAAATGTTTGGAGCTGTGACATTTTTATATGCGTGCCTGGTTGTTTAGTTTGTTAGCCGATTGTTTGCACCTTGTGATTCTATTTCCTTGCAACTGTATTAGTTAGCTTTGTCAAATTGAGATTTGGCGTCACAGCTAGTTGTTGAGTTCTGGTGTTTGTTTATTTGCTAATCAGCTTATTCTGGGGCCTGATGTTGCAAACACTCAGCTGTCCTGTTTGTCTTTCTGGATTTGAGGTTCAAAGCTTGTTGAGATATTTTGAGCACTAATAATGACTTGAGTAGCTTTATGAACAACTTCATTTTTTGGACATACATTGGTTTAAGAGCAACTCTAGTAGAGTCGCCATATTAGCCCGATTTGCCATAATAACTGTTCGTATGGCAATTTTTGTTGAAAAAGTGGGTCTAGCAAAATCGCCATCCCGTGCTCCATCGGCATCTTTTTTGGAGGCTGCTGCAAGCTAGGTTTGCAATTGTTGGGTCCTGCAAGTTCCATTGATTGCACTGATCAGCAGGCATTTTAACATATCATTAATTATTTTACTTGCGTAGTCCTCAAGTTGGCCTGATTAATTTTCAAAAGCAAACTCTGAAATTTAATATATGTTAATAGTTTATTATCCGTCTTCTCATTATTAGTTCTTTTGGCTGTTGAGTAGTTGTCCAAGGACCGAAGAATGATACACTATCTACAAGAATTACACTTTCGTCATTGCAATCTTGCAGTGTTATTTTGTTCTGATGTTCGGTGTAGTAGAAGTTGTAATTCATTATGCTTGATACTGCGGTATATAATTGACCTACTTATTGCTAGCTAGAATGTGTGAAGCGTGACATGGCATTTGTATGAACAATTGCATTTACCAAGCATTCCTTTTCAAGTCAATTAAAAATTTATTAACCTGCAGGGCATAATTATCCATATATTTGTTTTTCAGTTCAATATCCCTCAAGCCTGATAGTATATCTTTATTTGTGTTTATTTGCAGTACCAAGTTCTCAGGGGGTTCAGACTGACAATGATCCTAGCAATTCCACTGTGCGTTCTTTGTTCTGTTTCCTTGAATGCAAGCAACTAGCCTGCTGATTGGTTATGTTTGATAGATCATCTATCTTTGGTGAATGCAGGTATTTGTTGGTGGCCTTGAGCCCAACACCACTGAGGATGTGTTAAAACAACTTTTCACTCCATATGGAGAAGTCGTCCATGTTAAGATACCTGTTGGCAAAAGATGTGGTTTTGTTCAATATGCTAGCAGGTTCACTATTTTACCCTAGTTTCGTGGTACCAATCAGTATATTCATTTAAATTCTAAGCAGTCTGTTACTGTAAAATTCAGATCCTCTGCAGAGGAAGCCCTGCTAATGCTGCAAGGTACCATGATTGGAGGGCAGAATGTGAGGCTTTCATGGGGTCGGAGCCCTTCAAACAAACAAGTTCAGGTGATTTCATCTCTCACATATTGGACTTGTTTTCATTACCCCTCCAATCAATTGAAGCTATACATTTTCAGTCTCAACAGGACTTCAACCAGTGGGGTGGTGCTACTGCTAATGCTGGCTACTATGGCTACGGACAAGGCTACGGGGCTTATGGATATGCTATTCAACCTCAGGACTCTAACATGTATGGGTATGGGAAATATGCTGGCTACCCAAACTATGCACCACAAGTAGCACAACAGCCGCAGCAGGAACCGGTAAAATCTTCGTTAATTGTAGATGCCGTCTGACTTAGGACAGTCATGTTATATGGACACCATCCTGTTACATCAGCATATGCAGCTTGAATGGTAGATTTTTTTTTGCTTGTTTGGCATGGCTGGGATATAGATACCAAATCATTTATTGGTTTATTAAAAGAATCGACTATATTAAGGAAAAATAAATCCATCTCTTGTATTGGTATGATGAAGCGGCTTGCAGAATTACCACTGGACACAACTGGCTCATAAATACTCCCTGCGTTCCTAAATATAAGTCTTTGTAGAGATTTCAAAGCGGACTGCATACGGAGCAAAATGAGTGGATCTACACTCTAAAGTATGTCTATACATCCGTATGTAGTCCTTATTAAAATCTCTCAAAAGACTTATACTCCCTCCGTAAAGAAATATAAGAGCGTTTTTAGTGATCTAAACGCTCTTATATTTTTTTATAGAGGGGAGTATTTAGGAACGGAGGGAGTAATTGAGTAATTGAGTAGCCAGGTTGAAGAATTAAATCGTGAACCATGGCGAAGACACGCTTTCTCAGAGTCAGACTCCTAATAGGCGATAAGATCTCTTGTACTCTGTGGTAGTGTTCCATTTTACCATTATCTACTACGTTTTCGGTACCATGAACATGAATCCATACCATTTTACAGCATTACGTTAGCACCTGCTAGTCCTATTAACATTTGTATGTGCAAATGCTCCAGTATGTTCGTGCACGCTCAGAATCTGAATCCCAGCTGCGTTTCTTTTCAGTGAGTTCCAGCTATTTCTGTCAAACCTGTTAGGATTTAATTAATTCTCTTAATTAAGGATAATCCTCCCTGTGTTATCTTGTGCAGTTGTTTCGGCAACCGTCGCGATCCACTCTCCCTGCGAACGGACACCTCTTTGTTCGCGTCTGTTCCCTTTTTCTATATTGTGATTGTCAATGGAACTAGATAGTATCACATTTGGGGCGGTGTTGACGAATTGGTACTAGTTTTCAAAAATTTCACATGTCAGTATGTCGGGGAAGCTGATCCACGAACACCTATGGGGATCGGCGGACCGAGCCCCTTTCGGTTCGGAGGGGGGCGGAGGCTGCACAAAGAGCGGATCGAGGCAGTACACGCGAGCAGTTTTACCCAGCTTCGGGCCGCACGGATGCGTAAAACCCTACTGCTGCTTGTTTGTGTGTATTGAATTCTTGCTCAGGAGCGATGAACGCTATCAGACTGAGCGTGGGAGTGTTTCTGGTGTTTCGAATGAGCCGAACCCCTTCTACGTTGCGCTTGGGCCTCCTTTTATACTTTCAAGGGGTCACCGGCAGGTGGCAACGTAGACTAGAAGGGTAAAAATGGAAAAGGATGCGGTAGGTGCAGCTACCGCTACTGTGGACACAGTGCACCCTACCTAACTTTGACGGCAGGGGACAAGGGCATTGAATGCCTGTCTGAGTTGCCTAAACAGTGCAAAAAGTGACCGTTAGGAGCGCCACCGTTTGCCACGATGGCCTTCTCTTCATCTTCGCTTGCCACCGCGCACCCCTAGCTGCGCGGCCTCCTGCCACGTGTGCTTAGAGCGACACGTTAGCAGGTGTGCTAGAGCGCGGGCACGAAGTGGGGGTTTCCCGCGGCAAGCTCCTTGCCGCGGTCGTCGTCTTGTCGTGTTTGGGAACTTGTTGCTCACCGGGCCTTGCCGGGACGCAGGGCGCGTCGCGGCAAGCTTTCTTGGTATGCCTTGAGTAGCCTTCCCGGCAAGCTCCTCTTGCCGGGGTCTTGTCTCTTCCCGGCAAGATCCTCTTGCCGGGCCTGGGTTGGCCTTCCCGGCAAGCTCCTTTTGGCGGGGCCTTGGTTGGCCTTCCCGGCAAGCTCCTCTTGTCGGGGCCTTGGTTTGAGTACTTTGTTCTTGAATGGTCTTCAAGGGAACCACGGAGGGTCTTGGCGGTCACCCGGCAAGCCTTGCCGCGGGGCGCTGCAACTGCCCGTGCACGAGTTCGGGATACTAGGGTACCCCTACTCTAGTACACCGACAGGAGCCCCCGGGCCTGGGCCATACAGGGTGCTGAGCGCTATTGGGCCAGGCCCAAAACAGTGCACGGGCACGCGCGGCCTAGGTCACGTCGCATATCTCTCCGCTCCCACTGCGCACGCCCAGAACGGCACGCGTCAAACGCAGCGTCGTGGGTGACGCGGGCGGCGTGCGCGGGGCTAAGCCCCTCGAGCATGCGTCAGGCCACGATGATGGGGACGGTTCACGCCCTCCTCCCTAAACGGAGGTAGGCGTGGGGGCGTGGTGCATTTACTGGACGGGGCCGGTGCGCGGTTTTCGGGACGTCCACTCCCCGCGATCACGAGGCGGAGCGAGGCCGCCTCATCCGTCGTCTTGGTTCTGCATCCCCGCCACGCGGCTCCCATGCGCTTGGGGTCGCGGACGGTGGAAGTGGGAAACTGGGACGTCGCGAGCAGAGGCAGCGGGTTGGCCCCGACTCCCTGCTCTTCCCGTGCCTTGATTCGCTGAGCGGGGCGGCCGAGCCCCCACCTCGCTCCTTTATAAAGAGCGGGAGGGGAGCACAGAAACCCGCACTCTCTTATCTCCTCCTTTCTTCAGCTTCTGCTCCCCTTTCTCTCATCCGCCATGGAGAAAGGGAACCCAGGCCCTTCATCGGTGGCGGCGAGGGTCGCCGCCAGACAGCGCATCTCTCCCTCTCTCGCGCCCGTGGTGGCAGAGCCAGCCACAAGGGGAAGAGGGAGGGGGCGAGGTCGCGGACGAGGTCGAGGACGAGGTCGAGGCGCTCGGGGAAGAGGCGGGCGGGGCGGCGCGCCAGCTTCGCCTCCGCCGGCGGCTCCTCCCCCCACGGCGGTCCATATAGGGGACGACCCTTGCGAGTTCTTCGTCAAGCTGCGCCGTGCGCCTCGTCGTCGCCTCCGGCTTCCAGCTCCGTTTGCGAGCGCGATGGAGTTGGACCCGCCCGAGACACTGAGACTGCACATGAGGGGCTGTGGGATCAGCGGCACGCGAGTCCGCGTTGTATTTCCAGCCCCTAATGTGATGTATCTTGATCGATGGTGGAAGACATTCGCCCGGATCCACAGCCTGATGGAGGGGTTTACCCTCCATTTTAAGTTGATGGAGGGCGATCTCCTCTCCGTCAAGGTCTTCGGGTGCTTCGGCACTCGGGCGAAGTGCTTCGTAGACAGCTCCTCCGATAGCGAAGGCTCCTCCTCGAGCGAGAGTGATGAGGAGGAGAGCGACAGCGACGATGAGGGTAGCGGGCGGCAGGGTGGCGGGTCCGACTAGGCGTCGGGCGCCGCTTCGCGCGGCACCGGCGACCCCATCATCCGTGTCGCCGGCTCCTTGAACTCCCCGGGGTCGTCTCCTTGGGCGGCTGGCGTAGGGAGGCTGCGGAAGGGGAAGAGGGCTGGCGACAAGGCCGTCAGGTCGGAGTACGAGGGCGTGGTGCCCTCGACAGCGTGCTGACGTCCTGCCGCCCCGTCTTCGAGCCCCGCTTCCAGCGCCGCCATCGCCGTCCAGCCTTCGGACGGCCCCCGGGATGTTCTCTTGGTGTCTTCTGGCACCCGTAGCTCGCCTAGGCGCTCCTTTTGCCCTTTTCGCCTCCTTGACCTGCCTCCTGAAGAGAGGGACAGGAAAGGGATTACGGGCATCTTATCTTTTTAATTTGTAAGCCTTCGGGCCTTAGCTGTATCTAAAACTTGTAATCCTCTCTTTCATGTTTTTCATCCTCTATGGACTGTACCTGAGTGGGATGTTTTTTAATGAAAAGGGGATGCTTGCCGGGTTATTTGTCTCGCGGGTTGAACCCACGCCAAGGAGCAAATCCTTGGTATCCCTCGGACAGACATTTCATCTCCCGGCAACAGGCCCTGCCGCCTTCCCACGTCGCTCGACCTTTCTCACGCCTTTGACGGAGGCGGGAACGGGGTGGGTGCGGTCTCCTCGTTTCATCCCTTTGCTGCCGCGACTACGACCGAACTTGGCCCTGGGAACGAGCCCCAGGGCCTAGAGTTGAGGGAGCACAACAGTTTTCGGGAAGAAACGCGGTTTCGCATTCCCCAGTCCATAAGAAGATGCATGATGAGGGATGAAAGACTTATTGATATTGCATCCCCCGGCAACTCTGGTTTGCCGTGGATTATTCTTGGCACTCGCAGCCCCCAGCGATACTGGCTTGCCGTGGCCCAGGTGCCGGCGCGCCCTTCTTCTCCTTTTCGTCCTCAAGCAGTCTGGCTCGGATATGCGAGCCCTGCGAACGAAAGAGAAGCAAAAGGACGGACACTCGACCTCTAGCATGCATGCTATAACCCCGGGGTGGAAGGCTTCGGGTACTCTTCCGACGAGAACCTCCAACCCAGCGCCAAGCTCACTCTGTTCTTCAAAGGCATGGCGGCGGCGCTCCAGCAACTCCGGGAACGGATCCCAAAGCAGTTGGCCGACGAGTCACGCTCGATTTGTGCCGGAGTTCTGGAGAAGGTGCTGGTGAAGGTGGCCTTCCGCAATCCGGGCCTCAACCTCACCAACGTCCTCAAGAGGCTGCCGGCGGACGCTGATCTTGACGCACTTAAGGCCCTCGTCGCACCCATTGTGGACAGGGTGAACGAGGTCAAAAGGGTTGACGGCGGTCGCGTAGATTAGGCCGTCCGTTTTCTTCTTTTCTTGTCGCTGCCAGTCATGTCATGGGAACACTTTATTAGAGGCGCGACAAGTTATTTTTGTAATATAACTCTATCTTAGGCGAAAAATTGCTGTGTTACTTCCTTTACTCGACTCTTGGCTTTGTATGGCTCTGCCCTACGCTTTCTAGGGAAACTTGTCGGTGCAGGCACCCTTGCCGCGAGCGCCGAGTGCGGAACTTCAGCAGCCTGCTGGCGGGGTCGCTACCGACAAGCAACCTTGTCGCAACTAGTTGCAGCTCACTTAAGTTGTTGAGCGGACTCGAAACAAAGTAAGGGCGCTAGCGGCTCACTTAAGTTGCTGAGCGGACTCGAAGCAAAGTAAGGGCGCTAGCAGCTCACTTA